ATCAAACTTAATTTTTCTACATTCTTTAATTCTTGGTAGGTTGTAAATATCTGAAAATTCATCCATTTCTTCTAGGTTATCAAACTTATGAGGTTTTAATAGTAGCTTCTTAAAGTGCTTTGTGTTTCTATCTCTTTTATCATTTCCCCTCTTTCATTTCTGATTTTATCAGAATAAAAACTTTTTTCTTTTAAAGTCAGAGCTAAAGATTTACTTCATTTTGGTTTGTCTTTATTTCATTTATTTACACTGTTGTTTGATCTTCCTTCTACATTTAGTTTTGTTATTCTTTTCACATTTACTTTAAATTTAGATTGCTTATCTACAATTTTTATTGTTTCTTTATAAAGTCCTGTAACACTAATAACTTCCTTTTTAGTGCCACTTTTGATGCCCAATACATTTTGGATTCTTGTGCTTTCATTTTTCTCCATAGCACTGTCCTCCCGTTGTTCTTCAATTTGCTCGAGCGGGCACCAGTAACATCTCCATGGTGAGACTTGTTGTTACTGTGTTTGGCATATCGAATACACCATGGGGAGCTTGCCAAGCTTTGCTGTGTGGGCGGGATATTCTCAGTAGCTTGCTGGGCTCTCTGAGAGGGGCGGAGGACTCGAACTCGGGTCGGCCAGGTCAGCCGCATGCAAGGCAAACGCCCTACCTGCTATGCTATCCATGCATTTAAAAATTTGTGTTTTAATTTCTCTGTTGACCCAGTGATTGCTGAGACATATACTATTTAGTTTCCACATGTTTGAGGTTTTTCTGCTTTTCTTTTTGTGGCTGGTTTCTAATTTCATAGTGTTGGTATCAGAAAAATTACTTGGTAGGATTTCAATCCTCATAAGTTTATTGATACTTGTTTTGTGTCCCAGCATATGGTCTTTCCTTGAAAAAAGTTCTGTGTGTACTTGAGGAAAAAATCTATAAACTTAGCTCTTTTGAGGTGAAATGCTTATAAATGTGCACTACACCCATCTTTTGCAGTTTGTCATTTAAGCCTGCTATTTCCTCATTTATCCTATTTCCCTGGTTTTCCCTTAGGTATAAGTGGGATGTTACAATACCCTATTACTGTATTATTGTCAGTGTCACTCTTAGTTCTATTAATAAGTGCTGAATGTAATTTGATGCTCCTTCATTTGGCACATATATATTAATAAGTGTAATATATTCTTATTGCATTAATCCCTTAATTATTAAGTAATGTTCATCCCTACAGGGGATGGAGAGATAGTATACAGGGTAGGATAATTGCCTGGCACATGGCTGACCGGGTTTGGTTCTGGGTTCGCACCCCAGATGGTCCCCGAGCCCACTAGGAGTGATCCCTGAGTGCACAGCCAGGACTGAGCCCTGAGCCCTGAGTATCATTGCATGTGGGCCCCAAATACCAAAACCCAGAAAATCATGCTAATTTTGATGAGATGTGTCTAGTTTATTTTAAGACTCTTGTATTTGGATGGTTAGTTCTTCCTCCCAATTGTGAAGGTTTTGGTTAGTACTTCAAATAGGGTGTCTGCTCCTTCACTTCTCCTTCTAGGACCCCTTATAATGTATGTGGCTGTTGATCAACTTCAGGGAGTATCATAGAGCTCTGACACTGTTTCCACGGTTTGCTGTTCTTTCAATTACTCTTGAGTCCTTTCCATGGCCATACTTTCAGAAACTCCATTCGTTCTTAATTCTTGTTGTCAGTTCAGCCTGTATACTATATTCTTTAACTTATTTTATTAATTTAAATACTAATTTACTGTAATACATAAAGTTATTATATTTTAAGTACATTATTTGTTTGAAGCTCTTATGTTTCTCTGTTCTTATAAACCTCATTTTGCTTACTGATTATTTTTTCTTAGGTGAAGGGAAGCAGTCACTCTGGGGGAAAATAAGTTTGATAAAAATAATCAAGGTGGACTCTGATCTCCTAATCCTTGGTTAGACCCATTGGTCCATTTTCTGTAACACTGAAGGTTCTCACTCTTATCCCCATCACCCCCCCCTATTTCATCTTCTCATCACGTCCCTCAGATTCTCAGTATTGGATGAGTCCCCATAAACAGCAGATCAGTTCTACCTCCAGGCCTCAAGTTCTCTCTGAGACTTCTCTCTCTTTCAATCCATGTTTTACTTCCCTGGATTCACCTCCTTCACGCAGACTACATGGCTGAGAACAAACAAGCACATGTAGCAAGTACCTCATGGAGTCAAGGCACAGGGTTGCGGGTCTCACACCAGTGTGCAGTCCCCCCATTCATCTGCCTCCTTTCATCATGCATCCCTAACCAGTACCTCAGGTCTTGGACTAAGAAGGAATCCAGAAACTTGAAGATAATCCACTCCCTTTCCAAGACAACTCCAATTTTTCTTTCAGGGACTAGCCTGGAAAATATTAGTGATATTAGTGATCATTGCAGTTTTCTCATTTGTGGGCTATTAAAAAAAACATAATATGAGACTAACACCCAAGGGCCAGGAGGATTGGTCTATGGTTGGAAGCCTGCCTCAAGGGCTGGGGGAGAGGGAAGTTGGGATACAGAAGGGACCATTATGACAATGTTAGTTGGAAAGGATTGCTCTGGATGGGAGATGAGTGCTGAAAGTGGGTAAAGGACCAAACATGATGGCCTCTCAGTATCTGTATTGCAAACCATAATGTCCAAATGGGGAGAGGAGAGAGGAGAGAGAGGGGGGAGGGAGAGAGAGGGAGAGAGGGGGGAGGGAAGGAGGAAGATAGAGGGAGAGAGGGGGGAGAGAGAGAGGTCCCTGCTCGCTCTAGAGGCAGACTGGGGAGTGGGGAGTGTCAGCAGGAGAGATATGGTGGATATTGGTGGTGGTAAATCTACACTGGTGGACAGATAGGTGCTGGACCAGTGTATGACTGAAACCCAATCACAGAAGCTTTGTAGCTGTATCTCACGGTGACTCGATAAAAATAAATTAAAAATTAAGTCTTTGCAGGTTTGCTGTTTACCTTTAGGGTGGCCTTACTAGCTTAGTTAGTTTAATATTTATTTGTAACCCCATTAGTACTTTAATTAATGGAAACCTTGGTGAAACTTTGCCTTTGCAGGGTGCTCTGCCATTAAAGGCAAGGCAGCCCAGAAATCCTAGTTTCCTGGGAAGCAAGAGCCATGGTCTCATGGTAGAGGAGAGAGAAGCACTTGGTAAGAGGAAGCTTGCTCTAACTGCAATTTTCGTTCAGAGCTGAATGAACGAGTTGCCGTTTAGAGAGACCAGTCAAGGGCTTCTCAGTAAGGGGTTCCACATTCTTGGATGGCTTCCTAAGCACCTTCCTGGGCCTCTGTAGGTCCCAGCACTACTGGGGAGATCTTTCCCAAGCCCCTGAAACTGTTTCTTCAGGAATTCAGCTCCTCTTTATTCAGTTTCTTTTTGTATATAATTTTTGCCTCAGAAAATTATAGCGAAAACCTTGTCATACTATTTGGTTGAGATGTTTTCTTCTCTTTTGATCCAACAAGAAAAAAGGATCAGATCACTTCCTGTGAATTCTGAATTCCCAAACAGGAAGAGGCCTGTCCTCACAGTTACTCCAGTTTGGGATGTTTAAAGGGCATGAAGTTAGGGCCAGGGAAATAGCCCAAAGGGGTGGAGTCCCTGAGTTCAACTGCCCAGAGCCACATGATCCCCTAGTACCTCCAGATATGGCACTGGTAGTCCCCTGAGCACTGCCAGGGATATCCCTATAAAAAGAAAAAACAATAATTAAAGAACATTAAGTAAAAAACACTTCTTGGGGATCTGCATCCACTTCATGGATTTCTCTTTGGCTCCAAGAATTTCCTTCTGATCCCCAAGTAGGGAGCCAAGCCTCAGTGATGTGGGGAACAGGACTAGGAATGACAGCAAAGAATCAATGTCTGAAGAGAAATAAACACCCACTCCTGTCCTTAAGCTTCTGGCAAACATTTACTCCTGGGTAGGAAAGAGTTTGTTTGGCATGGCCACTGTCCCTTCGCTAGAGTTTGTTTGGGCAACAGCACCTTCTCTCCTGGTGCAGACTCCGGTTGAACACACCAAGCCTTCCCACTTTTGGACACTGTGATCAGCCACTGTGCACACCTAGACCCATATATGTATGACTTTGGTACAGTTCTCATGGCAGAAAACAAAAGCAAACAGATTTTCATAAAGATTTTCATAAAGCTCACCTTGGTTTGAAAACATTTTGATATTGATTTGTATTAAAATAACTAGAGGTCTAAAACACCATCAAATTCCAAGAACAGACCATTGTGACTGCAAGTTACAATATAAACACCTTTGTGGGACCGGGGGGGGGGGGATGGTTGTTATAAAGATCATGGAAACTGAATGTAATAAATCATGTGCCCTGCTGATTCCCTCCAACAAGCCAGTTATAAAAGTAAATAAAATCCCGGGGGCCAGAAAGCTAGTACAGGGGGTAAAGCATTTGCCTTACATGAGGTTGACTTCACTTTGGTCTCAGGCATTGCATATGATATCCCCCAGCATAGCCAGGTATGCTCCCTGAGCACAGAGCCAGGAGTAAGTCCTGAGTACTACTGTGTGGTCAAAAAACAAAAACAAAAAAACCTTCAGCATTAGTGACCAAAAATACACATGTAATGATGAGTAGCGCAGTTTATACAAGAAAAAATAAATTATAGACTCGAATATGCAATGTAGAGGGCTGTGTATGCATACCAGTGGCTTTACACGACTATTCAAATAACCATAATTTAATGATTTGTGCACTTAAAGTGGGTAGGCCTATGTAGATTTTTTGTTCCAATGTAAATGTAGAAATGGATTGTTTCAAAACATAATTTACAGCCACATATTTTAACAGATTGTCTTTTCACTTGGGTGAAGAAATAGTGGGGAAGAATGCACACTATATTCCAGGTTTTATGAAGATGTTTGCATAATGGTAATCAAGTTGTGAAAAGGGGAGAAAAATGGTTTAAATTTCAACAAATCATTCCTCTTGGCATCATGACAACTTTGGACAAAAATATTTTCACAAAATTTCATTTTAATTATCTTCTTTACAAAGCACAATACTTAAGACTTTTCTAAATACAACTTTAGAAAATGAAGCAAAAAAATAATCTCCATAGATGCTGGTTGAGTCCATGCTGAATGCAAAAGAATTTTTTCAAAAGTGATACTTTCAAGCTTTCAATATTCTTGCTGGGTTCATTTTGAAAGAGTAAAGGTGGTGTCTATTCAGGAAGTGGCTTGTCCATTTCCAGGATGTTGAATCCTCTTGCTGATTTAGCCCAAGGGGCAGTAATGAAACTGGATACACCGACTTCTATCATCAACTCTCCCTCTCTTTACACAAAGAAAACCAAAGGTTCAAGGGAAGATGGTAGCCCTCTCTTCTCCAGGTCACCAGTGCCCCATGAGGGTGCTGCAACCTTTCTATTCAATTATCAACGATCCTACTCTGTATACACATTATAGAAAACTAGGGATAGAAACTTAGGGCTTTCCTAATTTTCTACAGAAAATTAGGGATTTTCAGGATGGGTAAATGGGAAATACAAACGTCAAAGAACCCAATCCTCATTCGTATATTAGGTGGTGTGAAATCTCTGAAGGCTTCAAGTTTAACATAGAAATGCTTAGAACAGTCAAGGGGTACAGGAATGTTTGATGCTGCCCTTGGGCGCTGGATGCTCCTGGCTCCGAGCACACTGGGCATGTCTGCTACAGAGGCAGCATGTCCGGACATGGGAATGAAGGCTGGGGATTTCTTTCTTTCTCTTCCCTTAACTGTGTCCCTACCCTGAAATGCCAGGGTGTTTGGGCTCTGGGTAAATACTCTGGGGAAGTAGCAGCCTCAAGCAGCAAGGATGAGCATGTAGGCAAGAGAAGGTGGGATAAGGGAAGGAAAAAGAGAAGGAAAGAGACAGTTATTCAAATAACTTCCATGATCAGTAATGGAATTTTTTTGCATCACTCCTTCAGCGTTATCAAGTCTCATTCTTTGTGGTTGTGCAAATATATTAATGCTTAGTTTCACTCTAAAACTCATGAAATAGACAAAGCAGCTTTTAGAAACACATAAAACAGCTTCAGGGGCCATTAAAGGACAACTCCCACCCCCACCCCCCCAATCCCCAGACAATCTTGCAATACAGTATGCCCCTTATTTAGCTAAGGATGAGAAAAACAGTTTACATAGTCTAAGGCTGAACTGTTCATTGGCTACAAAGGGAAAGCAGACAAGCAAACACCAGTTTACTTGGGAAAGAAAAAAAGCAATACCATAAATGCAAGAAAGAGCCGATGGCTACACTTCAACAAGAGCCTCCCCATTCTCTTGGACCTGAGAAAGGGGTTACAAGAGAGCAAGGCCAATGACATTCTATGAGTACAGTTTAAACAATGACACACACGGATAGCCCAGTGCAGTAAATAATACAACTTCCCCCCCGTATTTTTAATTGCATTTTATTTTTATTTATTTTTGATTCAATAATGCATATTCTGTTCACGCAAAAGGTGCAAAGGACAGGAAGCAGGGGTTTAACTTGGCTGATGAAAATCAAGCAGGGGTGACATTTTTCTAGTTCCATTAACAACCTAAAACTAGAACTTAAAAGTCGCAGCTGGCGCCACCGAGTAAACCAGGCTTCACAGATGTCTCAACTGTGGCAAGGTACAAGAAGCTTTGAAGACAGTGGCCTCTAGTGGACTTAGAATAGTGACTAAAATAACATTGTTTTTTTTTTCTTTTGTTTATTTGTGGGTTTTTTTTTGTATTTGTTTTGTTTTTTGAATCATGGTAGCTGCATCACAAAAGCTCCAATCAAGAGGGTGGTAAAAAGAAGGCACAGATCATTGCAAATACCAGGTTTTCTCTTTCTCCTTTTGAAAACACACCATCATAGGTGAGCTAAAATTGATTAGGGTGGTGGGGTTTGCTGGCAGGGATGAGAACAGGTTGGGCCTCAAATTGCGTATGGAATAGAATCTCAGAGGACGACACAAAGCGAGGCAGCTTTCAGCCTGAAGCAAAAGTACAGGGCACTCGCTCCGGACTAGGTATGATACACACAATGGGGGAACTGGTGACAAAACACGATTAAAAAAATCATAAAATTATAAAGCTTGTAAACGAATAATCTGAAGTTACATTTTATTAATGGAAAATATCATCAAAATAGTACCACTATGGACTAAACTGCCTGAGTTTTCATTTCGCATGAGATCTCATGGTAGAAAAGCCTTTAGCACAATTTGCTCTTTTAAAGTCACAACCAGTGCCAGACCCAGGACTAGACCATGGGGAATATTCTCCTCTTGGATGGAATTTGTGTTGTGCTATCAAGACTTTTGTGCTAATCTTTCAAACAGGGACATAGTGAGGCAAACCTGTAATCTTTTGGCACACGGTTATTTTGGCTGGGGCAGAGAATTTGAGTCTAGGACTCAGAATGAATAACGCAAATTTCGGTTATCAAGTATTCATTTTGATTGAAGAGCTTTCTTTATGTCATTAACTTCCATCTATAAAGAAAAAACAAGAAGTGAACAAAATCACAATGAATTGCTCAGTTGGTTAGCAGCGGAAAGATAATCAAGTTGGTGAACTGAAAGAAAAGAATCTATCTGAGAGTTTTAAAGGCCAAAATGGGTGAAATGACATCGGAGTGGAGGGCTGATGACAATGCTAGAAATGACAGAAACCTAAGAACCAGGCACACAGATGTGATGCTCTAGGAAATGAGGGAGGTTGCAACTGCAGGCGACCAGCATTCAACCTCTGTCAGAATGCCTGGAAGGTGCTGTGACGGGGCCCAAAGGGGTATCTGTCAGCATCCCTAAGTGATGGTGAAGAGTTCATCTAGCCTTTCCTTAAGCAGCTTGGGTTCCAGTTGTTCCCAAGGCAAATATCATGAGGCTTCCAGAAACTGGGGTGGGGAAACTGCTTGCAGGAGATGGTTCCGAAAAATTCCAAACGAAGAAGTCCTTTATAGGACACATTTATGAACTGTCTCCCTTCCTCAAGGACTTCCCAGATCCCAAGAAAGGAGGTTAAGTAAAGATATACAATTCGAAGAAAACTGCTAGTGGAAGCGAACTGCAAAAACAATCACTTCATTTCGAAGTCCTGATGTTGACCCTGTCCCCTAACTCAGCCTCTCACAGGCATCGGAACCCAGGAACCCACCTGCAATCGAAGGCGGATTTTCTTCTCTTCGTCCAACTCTGAGAGTAACTGCTTAATCTCTCGTCTGCAAAACAAGATGTAGTGCAATAAAATCAAAATCCACAGATAAGAAACCTCATGGTGATACATTAAAAATAAAAATAGTAAAAAGATAAAAAATAAAAAAATAAAAATAAGATGGTGTCTGCACACAAATTTTTGTAACAATTTACACTAAATCCAGCTCCCGGACGAGACCAGTGCAGTCAGTCTCCTGCCCCTGCGCCTGGCTGTTCCTCACTGGGGTCCCCTGGAGGGGAGCGAGTTGAGCTTTCCTCCCCGCCCCGACCAGGGCTCCGGCAGCCGAAGACCTCCAGGACCAGCCACCACCATGCTGAGACCACTCTCCACACACATGAAGGTACTGGCAGAGGGACAAAGCCATGCGGGTTCCGGGGCCGAGATCTCCAAGCCTACTCGAACTGGAGTCGAGCATCCTCCACCCAGATCCTCCAAATTCCAGTAGGCGGGGGTCACACCCACCACCTGGCCCCCTGGCACCGTGTAATCCCATCAACGGCCAAGACTCAGAGACTATAAAATCCAGCTCCTGGAACCGCGCGGCCGCATTTGCGGCCGCGCGACATCTTATCAGGACATCTTTTTATGATATCTTATTATCTCATTCCTACTTTGGACAAACTTGCAGGCTATCGAATATAGCCTGCCCACAGGGCAGAGTCTGGCCAACTCCCCGTGGCACACCAAATATGCCAAATACCAGTAACAATGATGGGTCTCATTCTCCTAAAGAGCCTTGAATATAATCTCATGGCTAGGATGAATGAGACGTTACTGGGACCTGCTCAAGGCAATCGACGAATAACAGGATGATGAATGAATGAATGAATGAAAATTATAGTGCATCCATACAACAGAATAATATGTAGCAATGTAAAAATAATTTAAAAAATGAACTATCAAAAAAAAAAGAAAGAAACCTTGGGACTGGGGAGATGGTCAAAAGGACTTAGTACATGCTTTGCGAGCAAGAGACCTGGGTTCAACCCCTAGTACTTCATGGTCCTTGGAACACCACCAGGTATGCCCCTTCACTCTAAGAGATAATAAACCTTATCACTATAAGACCTCTCCCACTTTTTAACAAAGGAAATGTAAGCAACATTGCATTTTGTTGGCACTGGTGTTGCTTAAAATTATTGCTGACAGGTTTGCCATTATTTGGGGGTTCCCAAACTGGGTAGCCATAAAATAGCAAGTCTGAAATGACCTTTGGGATTTCTTACTTCAAGGTCTTCTGAAAGAAGACGGGGAAACTGAAGCCCAGAGAGGGGTTCAGACTTATCCAGTGACTGGACTCCAGGTACGTCGGCTAACATTCTGTCACTCACCCCTTGGATGCTCCCTTTCTCACAGAAATGCTTGTCCTTAAGTGAACTTAGGGAATAGTCTTCAGAAATGTTTATTACTCTGCAGATATTTCCTTTATTTTCACAGCTTTCAGTCAATAAAAATCCACTGGGTAGTTAAGAAATATCTCACAAGAATCCCACAAATTCTGAAAGCTTAACACTTGGAGGTGAAATCACTGAATGAATAATCCAGCAAAAGGGTTTGAGAGAAAGTAGATGTGAGCAGTCTAATGCCTTTTCTGACACTATTAAGTGTAGTTGAACAGCACCAATCATCTTGCAATCTCTGGGTTCTATACTTAGGGCATCACAGCCACTCAACATCTGGGCATAGGGCTGGATTTCATTTTCAGACATCAAACACAAGATTTGACATCCCTGTCATTGGGCCAGTGTCCTGAGACTTCTGCCAACACAATGGGGTTTCTAACATGGACCAGCAGGACTAATGACTGGATTTATTCAAGTACCATGATTCTCGGCAGCACTTGTACTGGGCTCAGGAGAGAAGCAGGAGGTGTGACCCTAAGCAAATGTCCCAATACTAGGAAGACAGGCATACAAAGCCTCCAGGGGTCCACGTCAGGGAGTTCTTTGCAGCAGGGTGTGTAAAGCGACTTCCTAAGCCTGCCTCATGAGCTGGGGGAGAAGGCAGCTGGAATAAAGAAGGGATCACTAAGTCAATGATGGTTGGAGGGTTCGTTCAGGATGGAAGATGCTTACTGAAAGTAGATAAAGGACCAAACATGATAACCTTTCAGTATCTGTATTGCAGACCATAATGCCCAAAAGTAGAGATAGATTATGGGAGAAATTGTCTGCCATGGAAACAGGGGGGGCAGTTGGAAAGGGGGAGTATAGTGGGGACATTGGTGGTGAAGAATGTGCACTGGTGGAGGGATGGGTGTTTGATCATTGCATGATTGAAACTCAAACATGAAAGCTTGTATCTCATAGTGATTCAATAATATTTAAAAATACATTTGAAATAAGTGAGAGACTTTCCAAGTCTTGGGCTAGTGAGAAAGAGCAGAAATCCACATGGAGGAAGGAGAAGAAGAGCCAGTGCAGCAGGCAGGGAAGAATCAGTACATTTTGGGAACAAGGACAGTCAGCGGAGACAACTAAAGGTGACACCAAGAGATAAGGTTGGAGAGCAAAGGGAGGCAACCCAGTAATGCTGGGTGTGAGGCTGAGGCTGTGGAAAGTGTGCTGATGTGTTGATTCAAGATGCCTGGGGTAGGGCCAGGGTGACCAGCTGTAACTGTGCTTCCCAGTGTGGGGAGGAAGCCAGGGTGGAGAGACCTGCAAACACTGGCAGTTCTGTATGTAGAGGCTGACACAGGCCATTTCAGATGTGCAGGAAGGTTCTTTTTAGAGGCCACCAGGACAGAAACTCAGCCCTGAGATCTGTCTGACCAAATGATGGACCTTCAGAAGGCTGAGAACCAGTGCTCTGGGATATATTGGGGTCACAGGGCCACAGGTCACTGTCTACAGAGGGGAATACCACCCAGGCATGAGGGGGACCTATGGGTACCCAAATCTGTGGTGGTCTCAGCCCAAGAGGAATGGGGATTTGAAGGTGTTAGGAGGTGGCTGATTCTGGGAGACCTTCTCTAGTTCCACCCTGTAGTTTTTACATGTTTATTGAGGGTCCCCTTCCAGGAGAGGCTAAGTTTGAAGGGCCCCAATTCCATGATATCATCTCTGAGCCTGAAGACCAAACCTGAATAGACCTACAATGTTCAAAGGGAGCCCCTCCCAAAACCTAGAAGAATGCTCTGGAGATGGGGGAAAGTTTGGAGGAGTTGTACAGGGAGATTAATTTAAAGGGTTGGAGCACAAGTTTTGCACATGGGGGCCCCAGTTTCGGCTCCCTGCACTGCAGGGTCCTGTGAGCAGGTGTAGCTCAAAAACAAACACACAAAACAAAAAAACAAAGCAAAACCAGAGCTTAGGATCTCTGTGGTTAAGACCATCTGGGAAATATACTTCTCACCTTCTCCATCTTTTTCTATACAGTGAAGATTCAGAGCAGTTCTTCAAAGAAATAAACTTATTTATTTATTAATTTTTGGGTCACACCCGGCGTTGCACAGGGGTTATTACTGGCTCATGCACTCAGGAATTACTTGTGATGATGTTCAAGGGACCATATGGGATGCTGGGAATCGAACCTGGGTCAGCCGTGTGCAAGACAAACACCCTACCTGCTGTGCTATCACTCCAGCCCAAATGATAAACTTTAAAAACTCCAATTATTCTCCATAGTATTTGAGCACAATACACTTTAGGGTCCTCCAGTCCTGTGGGGTGAGGCAGGTCTTGGGGCTTCTACCAACCATGGGCGCACTCAAAGGGGTGTGCCAGTGGATCTTGGTCATTCAGCCACGGGCACCTGCCCATTCAGTGGGCTGGGCACTGGGAATGTGCTCCCCCAAAGGCGCTGGAGTGTCCTGCTCTAGGTAATCCTAGGCTTTCCAAGTCCTACTCTGGAATCACCTCCCTGAGATGCTTTCCAACGTCCTCAAGAAAGTTAACCAATCTCTAAACTCTTTGAGCCTGTTTACTTAGATGAATACCTCCCCGTTTCCAATCCTTTCAGTTTTTGTTAGAGGCATCCCAGGGAACAATGATGTGTAGCACTGTAGCACTGTCCTCCCGTTGTTCATCGATTTGCTCAAGCAGGCCCAGTAACATCTCCATCGTGAGACTTGTTACTGTGTTTGGCATATCGAATACATCACGGGTAGCTTGCCAGGTTTTGCCGTGCGGGTGACATACTCTCGGTAGCTTGCCGGGCTCTCCAAGAGGGGCGGAGGATTCGAACCTGGCTCGGCTGGTCGGCTGCGCACAAGGCAAACGCCCTACCACTGTGCTATTGCTCCAGCCCCAATGATATGTAATGATTCTTTAGAGTAGAGACACTGAGGGAGTGTGCATATGGATATGCTCACAAAGAGAGCCTCTGTGGTGAAAATATCTCACCAATTGTAAAGTCTCAGGGTTAAAGAGTACCTTTGTGGCTGGAACAATAACTAAATGGACTGGAGCACACGCTTTGTATGTAGGAGGGCCAGGTACCAACCTTGGTACTGCATGGTTCCCAATGCATTGGGATAAGACAGGAAAGAAATAGTCCCTGAGTACAACTTGCTGTGACTTCAGACGAAAAAGTTTTCAAGACTCTTTACCCTGATGAACAGAGTTTAGAATCTGATCTCAAGATCAAAAATAGAACTCAATGGGGCTGGAGCGATAATGCAGTAGGGAGGGTGTTTGCCTTGTACATGGCGAATGTGAGTTTGATCTCAGGCACCTCATATGATCTCTTGAGCATTGCCAGGAATAATTCCTGAGTGCAGAGCCCTGAGCATCACCAGGTGTGATACTCCCCGTCCACTACCACCAAAAGAAAGAACTCAATAGGCTTTACTGCTTGTGTTGCCCAGTGCGGGACTGGATTCAGCTGCCAGGACTGTGGTTTCTGAGCACGTCCCAGAGTGATCCTTTAGCACAGAACCAGCCTCAAGCACCACTGGGTGTGGCCCCAAACCAGCACCAGAGAACGGGTTCCCTACATCCGTCTGAAACTCCACTTTCCCTAAATGCAAACCAGTCTCTCTCTTGGAGAGCTGTCTGCTGAAGAATGTGCTGTGTTTGGGAGCTGTGGGAAAGCAGACCATGGTGCCTGGCACAAAGGGGTGCTGGGCATCTGTTCTTTGGGGGATTTAAAGGATGCTCTTTGGGCTGCCTGCTGCAATCCTCCAAAGTGACACTCTGAGCAAGAAGGAAAGTGTCTCCCCTAGAGGGAGGCTGGGGGTAGGGGTGGGGGGCTGAGGGATGGTGGTGGGGAGATGGGGAACACTGATGGTGAGAAATGTACACTGGTGGAGGGATGGGCGCTGGATCAGTGGATGACTGAAACCCAATTATGAACAGCTTTATAATGGTCTATCTCATGGATATCCAATTTAAACTATTTTTTTTCAGATTTAGTTTTATGATCAAGTTATTTTTTTAATTTTTATTAGTGAAACACCATGAGGTACAGTTGCAGACTTACATTTTTTTTGTGCTTGGGTTTCAGTTATACAATGATCGAGTACCCATCCCTCCACCAGTGCCCATTCTCCACCACCACTAATCCCAGTATCCCTCCCAACCCCCAAACCCCCATCCTCCCTGCCTCTGTGGCAGGGCATTCCCTTTTGTTCTCTCTCTCCTTTGGGGTGCTGTGGTTTGAAAAAGAGGAATTGAGTGGCAATCATGTTTGGTATATAGTCTACTTTCAGCATGCATCTCCCATCCTGGGAGGATCCTCCCAACACCCTTTATTTGGTGCTCCCTTCTCTATCTGAGGGCAGTCTCCTGCCCCCGCGCCTGGCTATTCCTCGCCGGAGCCCCTTGGAGGGGAGCGGGTTGAGCTTTCCTCCCTGCCCTGGCCAGGGCCCCAGCAGCCAAAGACCTCCAGGACCAGCCACCACCATGCTGAGACCACTCTCCGCACACCTGAAGGTACCGGCAGAGGGACAAAGCCACGTGGATCCGGGGCCGAGAATGTAGCTTGCCCACACGGCAGAGTCTGGCAAACTCCCCGTGGCGCACCCAATATGCCAAATACCAGTAACAGTGATGGGTCTCATTCTTCTATAGAGCCTTGAATATAACCTCAGGGCCAGGATGAAGGAGACGTTACTGGGGCCTGCTCGAGGCAATCGACGAATAACAGGATGATCTGTGATCTCTATCTGAGCTCCCTTTTCCCCTAGCGTGTGTGGCTGGCCTCCAAGCCATGGAGCAATTTAAACTTTTTTTTTTAAAAATGTAATGTGGAGTTCATGCCCAGTTCAATCAGCTTAATAAAAGGCAGAATAAATAGCAGTACTCCTAAATTTAAAAAAAGTGACTCTCTTTGAGTTCTTGTCCTGGACCTGTGAAACAGAGCCCCATAGAGCCTCCCAACACCTACCCCCTGCCCCCAAATCACCCAGGGTAGGCCCACTCACTTCTGCTGGTCCTTCATGGTCTCGATGACGCTCCTGAGCTCACGGACCTGAGTCCTCAGCTCCTCCAAGGCTGCCTGGCTGCTGGCTGCAGGCTCTGTCTTTGGTTTGCCTTCCGCGCTGAACAGAGACGGGGAGTTGGCCCTGTGTCCAGTTGTTCCCAAAGAAGACAGTGGGGAGGGTGTTGCTGCCACCAGCGGGGCAGGCCCGCTGCCTGCTGCCATGCTCCCTGGCTTGGGGGGCAGCACAGCTTTGTTGTCAGACACCTGGAAGGAGGGAGGGCAGAGACGATTCAGTGACCCTCCCAGGGTCTTCTCTTCCACATGCCCCACCACTCATTTCCTTGTGCTCCAGTGGCACCCCCTGCCAGGGCCTACTCGGCACAAGCACCCCTTCTAGCATCTTCCTAGCTACATTTTGGTAACATGAGCAGAGTCCCGTCTCCTTGCTAGGCTCCACCAACTCTGAAGTCAGCAAGATCCTGTCTTGGCACTTGAGCTCAGAATCCCATAAGGTGTGGGCAAAGCGGCCCAGTCACAGGTGGCGGGAGGTGTGCTGGAGAAGCTAAGTACAGACAGCCTCCAATGGCTATGAAAGCAGTTCCTCCTGGGGCCCAAGAGCTAACACATGGGTTAAGGCACTTGTCTTGCATGCAGCCGACTCCGGTTCAATCCCTGGTACCACATACCAGTCCCTCTAGCACTGACAGCAGTGATCCCTGGGCACAGAGCCTGGAGTATTCCCTGAGCACCAGTGGGTATGGTCCTACCTTACCCCCAGTAAAAATGGAATTAACCATCTCTGAGGAAAGGCATTAGAGAGGAGCTGAGGGGCCGGCTGGATGAGGACTAGGAGGAGTCCAGAAGACATGAAGAGCAGTTGAAGGAACCAAGAGCAAAATGCACTCCTGGAAAGCAGGGATTCGGCAGGGCAGAAGAGGGTGAAAGGGAGCACTAAGGTTTGTGTAAAGGACTAGAAAGATCGCACGCCAGGGGTCAGAGCGATAGTAGAGAAAGTAGGGTGCTTGCCTCTCATGCAGCAAACCCAGGTTTGATCTCTGGCATTTTATATGGTCCCTTGAGCCTTGCAAGGACTGATCCTAGAGCACAGAGCCAGGAGTAAGTCCTGAGCGCTGCTGGGTATGCCCCTCCCCCATGAAAGCAAAAAAACATAAAAGATTGAATGGCCTGCTATCACTCTGGCACCATATAGGCCTGAGCATGGGGGGGTGGAGGGAGCCCTGCGGAAGGAGAAAATGGCTAGGAGATTTGCAGGCAGTGAGAGCTAGAAATGATAAGGGTTTGCACCTGAAGGACACTGAGAGGTCAGCTCTGAGAGGTGGTGCAGGGCAGACTCACTGCACAGAAAGGCAGTCCCGGCCAGCATGGAGTCCAGGCTTCAAAGGAAGAAGAAGTGCAGACTGAGAGCCATGGCAGGCATGGTGGAAGCAGGCCAAGGATGATACTCAGAATTTTACAGAAGGAAGAATGGGCTGAAGGTTAAAATAAGGGTGTATGTTTTAGACACAGTATATCCAGAGAGCCCGAGGAACACATCTAGAGATTAAAAATGTGAGTGAGTCAAGAGCCAAAATCTGGAAACAACCCAAGTGCCCTAGAACAGATGACTGGTTAAAGAAACTTTGGTACTTCTACACAATGGAATACTATGCAGCTGTCAGGAGAGATGAAGTCATGAACTTTGCTTATAAATGGATAGACATGGAGAGTATCATGCTAAGTGAAATGAGTCAGAAAAGAGAGGGACAGACATAGAAGGACTGCACTCATTTGTGGAGTATAAAACAACATAACATGAGGCTGACACCTAAGGATAGTAGATACACGGGACAGATAGATTGCTCCATAGCTGGAAGCCTGCCTCATGAGCAAGGGGGAGAAGGCAGCTGGAATAGAGAAGGAATCACTAAGAAAAAGATGGCTGGAGGAATCGGTCGGGATGGGAGGTGTGTGCAGAAAGTAGATAAAGGACCAAACATGATAACCCCTCAGGGTCTGTATTGCAAACCATAATGCCCAAAAGTAGAGGGAGAGTATGGGGAATCATGTCTGCCATGGAGGCAGGGGAGGGTGGGAAAGGGAGGTATACCGGGGAATATTGGTGGTGGGGAATGTGCACTGGTGGAGGGATGGGTGTTTGATCATTGTGTGATTGTAACCCAAACATGAAAGCTTGTAACTATCTCACAGTGATTCAATAAAATTTAAAAAAAAGTGTGAGTGAGGGGTAAAAGCAACCGCAGCCACGAGCGTGCGAGTCTCAGATCTAGGCAAGGGGAATCACGATCTTCTCAGATTGAGGAGGTGGAGAGAGAAGGCAGACACCTATTGGATGGGGATAGGGTAGGGAGAGGGGAGACCAGGCAAGACCAGAAGCAGAAGCTGGATTTTGGAAATCCCCTAATTGAAGTATCCAGAAGGAAAGGGGGAAAAAAAAGATGCCTGGGCAAGCGGGTTAAGGGAACTGGGAAGAAAACTCAGGAAGCTATTTGGAGATGGCGTCTGATCAAATCAGGGGAGCTCCTCGCCTGGAGGTGAAAGATGCGGTCTGCAAGTTTACAACTTTTTCCAGAAACTTGGCTATGGAAGGCAGATCAAAGAGCATGCAGGCATGAGGAAGCCCCAGTAGGAGGTAGATAGTGGCAGGTAAAGATGTGGGCAGACCCTGAGCCTGATGACATGCTAAGGGACAGAGCCTACACAGGGTCAGACTGGGGAGGCAGGAGACAGGCAGGAGTGGCCTGGAGGCCACCAGGAGTTAGACCAGGATCGGCGGGAGAGGGGAGAGCACGTGGCTGGTCCAGGGGAGGAGGCAGCAGTCAGGGAAAGTGCGTCGGGAGATAGGTGGCGAAGGACTGCCATTAGCAGACAGGACCCTAGGAGGTGAGGGGTTGCTGATGCTTGGCACAGCCACTATGGGACTCCTTCCAGGGGCAGGCACCGAGGGTGGGAGCCAAGAAGAGGCTGAGCTGGCAGCATGAGGAGGAGAGTGTGAATTCAGGCTGTGCTAGAGCAAGGGACTGGCAGAAGGAGCCAGAAGCAGATGGGCCTTCATTCCCAGCCTCCCTGCTCGCCTTTTCTCTGCCAAGTTACCATTGACGAAAAGTGCTTTTGGCTGCCAGGGAGAGCAATCCACCATCTCACACTTTAGGGCTAGCCGGGGGCCCAGTAAGAAGGAAGAGGGACTGAGGTTTAGGGAGCATGGTCACGAGCCAACCATGGGAGAGACAGCGGAAACAAGGGCCGGCACGTGCACATCTGCAGAGACTGAAGAGGTAGTTGTTGAGTAAATCTCGGGACTTAGAAGGGGTGAGACTAGAATTGGATCCCCCTCCATTACACTGTTCTGGGGTCCAGAGATGCGCACTCTCCTTCCACACTGTGCTGTGTGCCTGGTCCAGGCTTCACACTTTCCCCATCCTCTATCTTGCATCTTCACGTACCTCCCCGAACCCACCAGCGTTCTCATCATGACTGACTCCCAGCGAGTCCTGGAATTCAGGCTCCTCTAAGCACTATCTATAGAACTTGTTCTCGCAGCCAGTAATAAGTATCATTGAAAGCCCTCACAGTATATGCATCCTTTGATCATATTAGTTCTAGTGAAATTTCTAGAAGCAGTAAATATCACGATTTGACCACTCCTGGGAAGAGCAAGAGAACTTTGCAGTTCACCAGAGAGAATTTTGCAGTTCAGAATGTTGAAGAGCCACTACCCGCCAGTAGGTGTCACTGTAGAGACACCACTGGGATAGCGAGCCAGCAGGAACACTGGAAAAAAAAATTAGTCTAACTGCTACCTATGGGGGTCCTTCCTAGAATGGAAGAATGCATTGCTGTTTTCTGTAATCAATCATTACAATGGGTTGACTTCATAGAATCATAATTTTGTTCACTGTGCATATTTTAAAGGCGAATCTATGCAGAGAGATTCTTAAATCTGTAAGGAAAATTCCCATAACCTTAGTATCTGTGCTAATTTCTGCTTCCAGTGCCTTATAATGTGACTGCAAGTTTCTACACTTAGTTAATTTCTGCATGTGATAATAGAAAATAATTTCAATTACATAAAAACCAGAATTTGAAAATCTTTGTTCACATTTATCAGAAGGAAAAAGAACACTCTTTGGATGCCACAGATGTTGCCAAATAATGCTAAGTAATAATTTCCCTCTCACAAACCAATAACTGAAAATAGCCATGTCCCTCCTTGGACCTGCAGTGAAGTGACAATGTTGTAAGCTGTATATTAATCCTCATACATAAAGCCAAACCAGTTTTTCTTTGAGACTCTCCTTAGTCAGATTGATGAGGTGTCAGGCATAGTTTGGGATGCTGTACATTTTAAGATAAAAGTGAAGATTTGTGAGCAGAGGGCATAGCATTTAATACATTTGATGGATTCATTCTAGACACCTCTAGGCTTTAGTGAAGTAAAATAGATTTAGTGAAATTCTCTTAGTGAACTGAGGGAAGAGAAAGTGAGGGAGATATATGTTCAAGAAAGAACACAGGCTTCTCCAGAAAGGCAAAAGCTGAGAGTACACATTCCAGGTCAAGATGCGGGCAAATCTCCAAGGTGGAGAATACACCAACAATGCTGGGCTTTTTAAGGGGCTCTGGTGGTTGTGACCACAGAAGTGATGTCTGAACGCCCTTGTGTATGTGTGGCTGACGGGGTGGAGAGATCAAACCACAGGAGAGGACATGACAAATCAACAACTGAGCTTGTACCTCAGGAATTCTTCCCAGTTGTAGAGGCTTTCTAAAAGGTCTTAGGGCTTTTGATGACTTAAGTATTCACAGTCACTACAGAACAACAAACACTGGCACTGTCTGTTGCAGTGGACCAAATGTGTCCTCCAAAATTCACATGTGCAAATCCTAACCTTGTTGTTGTGGTAGGAGATGGAACCTTTGCAAAGGAGTTAGGTCTTGTGGGTGGTCTTCTCATGAATGGGATGAGTACCTATAGTTGGGAGAAGCTACTCCAGAGAGCTGTTTTACCCTCTTTCTACCATGGGAGGCTATAATGAAAAACTGTACCCCTGAGGGTGGGTCTTGACTAGAACTTGACTTGTTGGTCCACTGATCTCAACCTTCTAGTCTGCAGAACTATGACAAATCAGCTTCTGCTGCTTATAAGCCATCCCCCACCTGCTGTGTTTATGGCGATTTGTTGTAGCAACCCAAACCAAACTCTTGTTTAGATCCCTGTTTAGTTTATGGCCATTTCAGATCAGGCATGAAATCCCAGGGATTTTGTACTGCTGGGACACCCCAGTCATGACTGGTCACTCACTTGGGATATGGTAACAGTCTTTGAAGTTTTCTTTGATGCGTCCACTCCTCTGTGCGCAAGTGAAACGTGTTCTTCTTTATCGTCTTCGGGACTCGGGGAGTCAAAGATATCAGGGCTCGACAGGGAAGACTGGATAAAATCAAAAGAAAACGCTTTCATCGGAATTCCACCTTAGCGGACGGCCTTTGGTTTCAAAATGCTAGTTTTACTTTTCAAAGCACCTGATGCCACTCCTTTGTTCTCCCCACCGCTACTACACACACCCCACTGCAAAAAATCATGGAGCAGCCAATGTGCCTTAATATGTGCAGAGGAGAGGCTGGCAGAGCTGGAATTAAGGAGGAAGGCTGGTGATGTCAGGGATCTTTCTCTAAATTATTTCACTGGCACTCACTGGGCATATTACCTGTGTACCTCCCAGCCAGCCTTTCCTGCACTTTTTCCCCTTCCCCCCTTTCTGCCAATGTTTGGTATCATGCGCCGGAGCAGTGAACTTGGCACTGTACTCGCGGTGAGCCAGACATGGTTTCTGAGTTCACCAGCAGTCACTGGGCTGACAGTCCGGAATAGAAGGGGGCACTGACTGAGAGGAGGCTGCCTCTACCTGCCTCTCTCTTTCAACTCCTCCTGCTTCTTTTCCAGGACTATGAAACCTGCTGCACATTGAAGGGCCAAAAAGGACCCAAGAGGAAACTCTCCTAGGACAAGGGGTCACCAAGCCTGTGGTCAGGTAACCAAAGTTCCCATAGCCTTGAGGCGTAGCCCTATGTGCTGGCACAGCAAGCTCCTACCAGAACTTGGCTCTAGCCTAAATCTCTACTCTCCTTGCCCTGAAAATCAACATCAACTTGGGATTCTTTCCTGCTAAGAAGAAAGGCCCTCTCCACCTCCCTCCAGCTGTCGCAAAGTGAGGACACACTTACAGATGTGAGGGACTGGGACGGAGGCCGCCTTCCTGTGGCTTTTGGTCTGCTTGTGGTGGGGTGACTGAGTTTCTCAGTAGACGATACTACGGAGTCAAAACCTTCTAGGTCTAAAACAAAAGTAAAAGACAATTTTAAAAGCAAAAATAGAAGCAAGCAGAAGCTCTTGTAATAGGCCACAAACAGAATTTTTTAAAATTTGATAATCTTTTGATATCTGGATGGCACTACATCATTTGCGAAGGCAAATGTTTACATCCTTTGGTTAGCCAACAAATGTGATTCAAACTGAATGAAATAATCCTTCCTACACAGAGAAGAAACAGGTTTTATTTCTTTCCCTTTTCCATAGTGGCATTCATAACTCTTTGAACATGATAGAAGAAAAAAATAAAGAGGAGCAAAGGAGGAATCCTTTCGTCCCCAGATCCAAACCCAGTTTGGCTGATAAAACATTCCTGCAGATTCAACACAGGAAACAGCAGTTACCAAATCTGAACGCTGATGGCTGATTCCAGAAGGCTAGAGGGTAGGCTCCTCCTCTGGCTGTCCCACAATGTTTTGACCATCGTGTTTCACCCACAATAGAATAGAAGCCTCTAAGAGAGGGAAACCAAGCTCCTGGCTCTCCAGAGAACTAATGGAGCCCAGCACCCTTCTATTGTCAGCAACATCACTCAATGAGACCATCTCCTTCACATAATCACTCTCGCCATTCTCGTGAGTTGCTACTGCGATTCTTTGGCAGACTCTGAGCTGGATGCCCAGGAACCTCAAGGCCCCTTTCTCTGACAAGTGGTCAGATTGAGGAATTCCTTATTTTTAGAGTTTATGTGGAAGGGGTTATGAATCCATTATAGGTGTCTATGCAATATGCAAAGAAATGCATGGCTCAAAGTGGCCAGGATTGAGGGTCATTATTGTTTGTGACTAGGGCAACGCCAACTCTTTTCTTCAAGCAGACTATGTCATGAGCCAACTCTGCAGAAACAGCACAAAAATATCAGAGGTGCTATGAGGCCTAGGGGAGACAATCAGCTCTCTGCACTAAAAGCAGCTGCACAGGGACAGGAAAGGTCTCGGGTAGGGGATGGACTGGGATCTCCATTGTTAGATGACAACTCACTGCAAGGACACTCTTGGGAGCTTCCCTTTAAGAGCTTCTTATTTTCTGAAGAGGGTTCCCTCTTGACTCCACCCAAGGATTTGCCTCTCTACCAACTCCATGTTTTCTGAAATTGAAGTTATCCTTATACACTTGGATCAGTGCCACAAAGCCATCATCTGACATGCAGAATTTCCTGCCACCAATGTCTCCAGTTACCCCCTCCCACCAATCCCTGTACCATACTCAGCCTGCCTTTTCTTTCACTACAGACACTCTTCTTCTTCTCTGTCTCTTTCTGGCTCTCTTTTCATTTTTCCTTTTAAGCACTGTGATTTCAATGCATAATTCTTAAAACTACAACTGCATCAAAAAAAAATTCAACTACCACCCTACCACATGGAGATACTCACTATTAGTGTTTGGGTTTATTCCACTCCTCAGCTTTATTTTTTCTATAAGAAGTCTAGTTTAGGGCCAGGGTAACAGTCCAGCAGATACTGTGCTTTCACATGGCTGATCTCAGTTTAATTCCTGGCATCACACAGGATTCCCTGAGACTACCACGAGTGATCCCTGAGCACTGTCAGGTGAGGCACAACCTTCAACCCCTAAAAATGAAATCTAGTTCATATGAGTATGACATTCTGCTGATTTCAATTAATATTATATATCATAACAGTACAGCACTGTATTCCCGTTGTTCATTGATTTGGTCAAGCGGGCACCAGTAATGCCAGGCTCTCCGAGAGGGATGGAGGAATCGAACCTGGGTCGTACGCGTCCAAAGCAAACACCCTACTCACTGTGCTATTGCTCCAGCCTATTATCTATCATAAATCTAAAAATTATTCACAAACATTTTGTGTATAGTCTTCAGCTGCACTGCAACCAGGATTTATGGGCACTCTTACTGTTGGATAGTTTCCCAAACATTCTTCCTTGAACTCTTTGCTACTGCAGACAAAGGGTGCACAAATGCCCTTGTATACTTGACACACTATGAATTTAGCAGATTCTTCATGTGGCTGCCCCATAGGCCCTGGAAGGAGGGAATAAGCCCAGGGCAGAGATGCTTGTGGCTGTGGTGGTGGAGGGGGTGGTAAAGGATGAAGGCACAAGCAGGGACAGGCAGGGGAAGCCTGGAGGAGAGGAGAGAAGACAGAGAAGAGAAGGACAGATGGTGAGGAGGAAGCTGGGTAGGAGGTAAAGCTGAAGGCTATTAGAGGTTCCCACCAGCCGCTGCTGGAGCGATAGTACAGTGGTAGGGTGTTTGCCTTGTACGCGGCCAGCCTGGCCAAGCCAGGTTTGATTCCTCCGCCCCTCTCGGAGAGCCCAGCAAGCTACTGAGAGTATCTTGCCCGCACAGCAAAGCCTGGCAAGCTACCTGTGACGTATTCAATATGCCAAACACAGTAACAACAAGTCTCACAATGGAGATGTTACTGGGCCCGCTCGAGCAAATCCATGGACAACGGGAGGACAGTGCTACAGTGCAGTGCTACCAGCCACTGCTAAGGGCCTTGGCTGAGTGCTGCCAGGGGCTGAGAGGGATCACCTCGGCCTAGGTAAGGTCCAGACAACAGGAACAAGCAGTGGAGGCTGAAGCTGAGCATGGCAGAGCAATTAGAGAACAACGCCAAGTTGAACTGACTCAGACGCTCCCCCCTGGCGACACTTGGGGAACTAGAGACTTGGGCTTTGGGTCCCATGAGGGGAGTGACAGATGTGTCTGGGGTGCAGCAGGTCTGCCCTGGCTCGGGGGAAACTAGCAACACTGCTCCATGGAGAAGGGTGGAGGGAATGGAGCAAGCATGGAGCGCAGGACCCCTGGTGAGGAACAGGGCGCTCAGGCAGTGAGTCTTCAACCCCGGGCTAGGCGAAGCAGCGGATGACAGAGGTGCTGGTGCAGCCTATGCTGCAGACATGGGCACCTGGTGGGGTGGCGGGACACCACAGTGGGAGAGGAGGGGCTCCTTGAGGTGACCCAGCATGCAGAGGGGGTGGGAGCACTGAGGGATGATGAGGGACTCGGCTTCATTTCTGATTCAGAAATGACTCAGCACATCAGCACTATGCAGGCAGACCAGTGCACATCCCTCTAACTTCAGACCAGACTCCAGGGGGGGGCGGTCACCCTGCAGAGCCCAGTTGATGTTCTGGTCACCACCGAGGAGGTGAACATCTGCAGGATGGAGTGAGAGGGGTGGAGGGAACTGGGTCCAGGATCTCATCTTGGAGCTCTCCAAGCCTAGTCAGTCCTTGGGAGAGAGGCGTGCCACACTCCGAATGAAGGAACAAGCGAAGAATGAACAAATGCTCAATTGCACAGCAGTGCCCTGATTCCAGGAGATGAATTACAGGGGGGCGGGCATCATGAATCAGGGCACAGTGGGAGCTTGGCCCCACTCCCCTCAACTCCACTTTTGGGCTGAGCCCAGGCACTCTTAGCCATCATCTTCAGGACAGATGGCTGAGACTAGTATCATGTTTCTGTCACTCAAGAGGGGGGTGGAGGGAGGGGGAGCCATGCTAACCCTTCAGCATCTGTAGCTGCACTGAACTTACAGTTTGTGCTCACGGAAAAAGCAATTCTGCAAAACTTTTGAAGCCCATTGCCAGAGAGAAAAAGACTCAGCAAGTATGAGGTCATAAGCTGAAAAGGGAGCCTGGGGATGGGGGAGGGGTTGAAGTAGAAGGCTTTCTGCAAGGGGCGGGGGAAGGATCCTTAGTGAGGACTGTACCCCATTTTAGGGACAAAGAGCAAGTTCTCATGACTGAGATTAAGGCAGAGTTTCCATGACTAACCCACTGTGGGGCAAAGAAAATGTCCCCATTTTCATGGTGGTTTTGAAATGAATCAGGCTGAAACCGGATACAACCTTTCTTAGCCTGACTGGGGAATGTTTCCTCTCAATATAAAAAAGGCGTTTCAATGTCCAGGAGCCAAAATCCCCAAAAAGGAGTGGGGAAGCATTTTCTCTAAGTTTGTTTCCTCAGGTTGAGAAGTTCTTTGGCTTTGGGGACAGGTGAGTCCTCTGCTGATAGATGGCTCACTTTGGCCATAGAGTGGGCTTGGCATAAGTCGCTGCCCATCCAACCCCAATTTCACTCACAGCCCATTTAGTTCAAAAAGAAAATGGAGTCTCTTTTTCCAGGGCTGGGAGGGATGGCACTGGTAACCACAAGTGACCTAGCACACACCCACTACAAACATGGAGGAGAAATGGTGACAAATCGGAGACAAGGTTGGCTGTCCCCAATGGAGCTGTTGGCAAGGACTCAAATCTGTTTGGTGTAGCCTTAAACTGCTCTAGAGTTCAGTGGACTGAGTTTCCTGCAGCTGAGTCTGCATGTCACTTTGGACCTGTATCTCTGGAAGCGTCCCCTCTCCTCCGTGGCCCTGTCAAGGAGCATGAAAGCTGCCAGGACTCCTTGTTCTCCTTGATCACTCTCCTTGCTCAGAAATGCTCTCCTTGATCATTCTCTCCATGCCCCCCCCCCCCCACTCCCCCCGCCAGAGAGATGCACCATGCGCCAGCTCTGCACAAGTCTTTTCACAGCTTGCCCATAAAGTCCCAGAACCTTTGCATGGCCAAGGCCATCATGGGTTGTCCTGTGCTGGCTTTTCTCTCTGCCCGTAGCCCAAAATGCCCTTCCTTCCTTCTCGCTCCTTTGCTTCCCTGCACCCTGAATCTGCATTCAAGGATCCGTTAGTCACTGATTACCCCAATATTAGCATTTAGCACCTGGAACTGACCTTCCTTGCAGATTCAACCATCTCCCCCTAGATCCAGGGAAAAGCTGTGGTTTATATTTGTTATTTCCAGGCTGAACACTAGGCCTGGCTTGAATAACTCAACAATGTCTCCAGGATTTGGTCTTTCTCCCAGAACAAAAAAAAGAGAAGTATCTGAGCTATCAACTGCCTGGGATTATTATATTGGAAGCAAGACATTTTCTCAAACCTTTTCAAACAACATAGGGTTTAATTTTCATATACTA